AACCGACGAAGTTTAGTCGATTACGTTTATGAAAATGTGAAGCCCATGGTCTTGTATGTGTTGTAGATTTTCTCAATCGAATTTGCATATGCGGCTGTGCGTATATCCAACCCAAGGTTGTATTTGTGGGCGGTTGCAATGATCGCTTTTGCTAAAATGGTAACTATTTAATAGATTAGATGCAGAAGATTATACCGTGTTTTCTTTTTGCTTATTAGGAAGTTACCTGATCTGGACATCGTGTATTCCAATCCAGAATTAACAATTTCTTCTTCTGTGGGTCCGCCAATACGTTCCTTCAGCTCTTTGTTGGGTTGGATGTCAACTTTAAGATTAGCTTGTGTTTGTAATGATTCCTGGACGCTTCCTGTAACATACATTCTTAAAGAAGACTGACGTCTTGGGTCAATAATTTGACTTCACCACACTGAAAGTTTTCTGAGTGGTGTTAGGTTTAATGTCAGCGAAGTTCATACTGAGAACATCGTATGTGGAGTCGACTTCGTGTTTGAAAGTCATGCGGCCGAAGCTGACATGATTCAGGTTTTTCAACCATTCGAAGAAAGAGACGGTGACACCACCACTGTTCACAAACATGTCGGGAATGATCAACTTGTTGCCTTTGTTGAGCAGTATTTTGTCAGCTGCTGGCGTGGTTGGGCCGTTTGCTGCTTCAGCGATTACCTATATCGTTCAACAGTGACTGAGATGTTGTTTTGCTCACGATGGGAAATTTCAGCTGAGTTTTTCTGCATTGCTTGGGAACCACGGTAACTGTTAACGAAATCTGCTTCCGTAATTTTTGGAAATTATAGTTTTTGGGTACGTTGGGCTCTGTAGTAGTGTCTGTGTGGTAAATTATGTGGTTCCACTTTACTTACATTGGCTTGGATGCGATCCGCATTTCCTTTATGAATAACCTTCTCACAGGCAGCCGGAATAAAAATGTCACATTTCTCGTACATCAGTTCTTTGAATGGTTCGAACATTTCGCCGCCAGGGAAGCCCTATGTTAATGATGAAAAAAAGAAATCAGAGGATTAATGAGTAGTGATGCATCGTATGCGTAGTAATTCTTTTGGGTTATGTTTTTAGGTATCTGTGCATAGCCATCTGGAACTTCAGTGGTTGCTTACCTTGAGAGTTCCATGTTTGTTTTTCCATTCTTCAAGTGCTTTGGGGTCGATACCTTTGGGGTTCCGCACAGAGCAATCCCACTCTTGAACACCAATACAAATTGCACCTGCCTTGACCAAGAAATGTGTTGTATGTAGGCCAACGTTACCGAAACCCTGAAAGTTTCAAAAGTAATCTTCGTCGGTGAGCGCCGATAATTATGAATGTATTTTGGAAGCACGTTTTTGTAATGGATTCGCAGAATTGATGAAATGAATTGAGTTGTTTTCCTTTAAATCACTTTTTTTCATACTCGCAATGTCTTTTTGAAAACGGGGATACCGACCTGGATGATGAAAGTTTTTCCTTTTAGTCCGGTTGTAAGACCAACTTTCTTCATGTATTCTTCATCGTTCATGAAAGTTTCCAGTCCCTTCCAAACCCCACGTCCTGTTGCAGCGGTCCTGCCATGAATACCGCCAGATACAATGGGTTTGCCGGTAACACAAGCGTAGGCTTCCTTGTCTAAGTGTCCAATAGTTTGGCCGTAAGTGTCGGCAAACCAACCCATTTCTCGTTCGCCAGTACCCATGTCAGGTGCTGGAACATCGACACCGGGACCCAAGAATCCTTTTTTACCCATTTCGAGAGCTAAACGGCGTGTAATTTTCTCAATTTCATACGCACTGTATTTACGGGGGTCAATTTTTACACCACCCTTTGCGCCACCGAACGGAACGTCAACAGCTGCGCATTTGTAAGTCATTAATGCAGCCAAAGCTTTAACCTAAAATTCATGCTGTTAGGTGATTTTAGATACCTGTCAGTTTTGCTATTTCCAGTTCTGTAAAAAAATATTAGAGCGAAACAAATTGTTAAGTATATTTTGTTAAGTGTTTAAATGGTTGAACCGTACAGTTTGCAGTGTACGTTTATCTCCCATTGGATTTTTGACAAGATCAAATCTTTATGTCTGGTATAATTTCTTTTATTTAGTTTCAGCGTGTAAAGCTTCAATCCTTTAAGAATATCTTTAAAATTTTGTAGTTAACTTTTTCTTTTCTAGAAATTTTTGCAATGAACTGAACAGTGATTTTTGCAGAGTTCTGTTTAAAGATGTTTGGAAGGATTTTTGATTTTTTCTGCCAGATATCTGCTTATTTTTTGCTTGAGTATTAGCAACCGGAGCAGTCTTTTCTGCAAACTTTGATGTCACTACTGTACCTCGTCTTCACAGACAGATTCAGCGAAACGGATTCCACCCTTAGTTGGTGTCCTGTGTTCGCTGTGCTGAGCTCTCCATGCTTCTATCATTTCATATTCTCCATTGTCGCGTCGGATTGGGAACGTAATATATAGTACCTTAAATGAAATATTGTCTTTATACTACTTTGAAATTCACGCTATCATTCAAAGATTAGGCTGTAAGTGAACTCGTCGATTTTGTGAATGAAGCCCTCTGATGTTTACGCTTATTGGAAAGAATTTTGTATAGTACCATGATTTAATGATTTTCAGATTTTAGTTTTGCACTTTGCTTTATTCGATTCAGGAAATTTTGATACTGCTAAGCAGCACTGGTTTAAATTGCAAAAAAAAGGGAAGAAACAAAGACTGATGTTGTTGATTTAATTTTCTAACCTTATTGACGGGTTTGATGGCGGCAAGAATACCTTTGACAAAATTTTTTTTTTCTTCATGTGTCGTATTGGTTGTCAGCTCTTCGACAAGTTTTGGCTCAATCACCGAGATTCCTTTATCAACATAATATTCAACACTCTGCAAACAGAACAGTTTTTCTTTAACGTCTTTTTCTGTGCTTTGATAGGATAAAGAAACCGGGAGGAAAAAATAACAATGCAATTACAATTAATGAAGCGTAATCTGTTTTGCTGAAGGCACGTTCAGCGGTGGAAATTGTAGTCACTGTTTTGAAATGTCTAAGGAAAAAAAAA